AAAAATTGTTGATGTCTGCTCTAAATTTTGCCCAATAAATCCTATCGTAAATGTGAAAAGTATGATGAGTACTGTGATTTATCACTGCATTAATTTTTTTTAGAATTGCTAATACTGGGCGCCCCAAAATAATTAATAATGAGTAAATTTATTTAAATGATTAAATCAAAAACGGCTCACTCCATTTTCCCGAAAATTTTGTTATTATTAGAATTACACTGCACGTATCCAAATTGATATACGTGTCCTTGCAAAAATGTTTTTATCGTCATCACAAAATTTTGTAAAGGAAAAACTCATTTGAAACATATTATGTGTAACGCGCTTCTATACACTGACTTTAATATTACATAAGTACATATCTTTATTTTGGCTTATAGTGGTTCTCATTAAAATAAAATAAAATCAGCAAAATTAAATTTTATCATTTTTCGAAAAAGCTGGATGTTTTATTGTATTTCAAGGGAAATAATCCTTGGATCAACTTATTTTCGAAATCAAATAGGTTGATGTACAGTTTGGGCCACAAAATCTTGAGCAGTTCTGTCATTCCAGTGACATAAAGCTCTAAAACAGGCTTTACGTACTTATAACCTCAAATTTGCCATGTTTGTCACTTTGACGTGGACACGTAGACTGGAATGTGGATGATGACGTATGTCAAAATTCATAGGACGTATGTCAAAATTTATTTTTTAAAAGTGTCAGTCAACATGACAATAAAGCATAGACTACATTGTGTTTTTTTTAAATGACAGAAAAATACTGCCCAAGGTTTTCTGGCCGAAACTGTAACATTGGTTGCATGCTTCTAATGTTTGATGTGTGTTTTTTAAAAGTGAATGTAGGTATTATGACAAAATTTCTTGTCATATGTTCAGAGTTAAAAAAGTGTTCCCGCATATATCAAAACTGTCAAAAATGTGCCGACGACGCTGTTCTCATATTAAAGTCTTCTACTAGTGTGGGCTAAATGAAATTTAGGCAAAATTTTTTATAGCTTGCGTGTTTAGCATTATAAAATAATTCAGTTCCTATTTAATTTGTCACATATTTCTGGTCTGCTTTCAAGTATATGGAAGGAAATTTTTTAATCTCTATTATTTATAATTCTGGGAATAGAAAAATCGTTTCAAAATATAGGGGTAATTATTTTCCAAATTTTAGACGAGCTTACTTCTCAACAATTTAAGATCGTGTAAACAATCGGCAACATGGATTTTGTTTCAACTTATTATAGCAAGATTTCATTATCGATGGTCTAGCAAATAGATTGTAGATACACTCTACCTATGAGAATTTTTCCAAAACATTTAACAGAATAAATCATGGTATTGTGCTGATCAAATCAGGGGTATGAATTTTGATGTTCCTACGGTGGACTAAAAATTTTGTCAGCGGTAGTTCGTTAAAATAGACAATTCTATTTCTGAGGATGTCCTGTCATGATATCTCCAGGTGGTCCATAGAGTTTCCACTGTGGCCTACTATTATTTTTAGTATTTATTAGCATGTTTAATTTTATTAAATCTTCATAATTACTTCTTTTCGTGGATGATTTGAGGGTATATAAACTGATTAGGAATTCAACTGACTACGTGTGAGACTATGGGAAGTACTTTCAGTGGTGTTGTTCTAATAATATGGATATGAAAAATGTTGCAAAACTATTTTTAGTAAATTCAATTCATTTATTGACATATTTAATCCCTTACAAATAGACGTGATCAAGATATTTGTGATGTGCGAAAAACTTAGGTACGTGATTCGGGGTGTTTATTTGATTTAAAATTTTGTTTTGTCTCTCACATCGAAACGATCATTTACAAATCACTGAGAATGTTGGGTCTTATAATATGTTTCGTCCAAACACATAGGTAATGTTAAGAATGATTTATTACATAACACTGTATATATACAGGAAGTAATATAATACAATATTTCAAATACATACATATAACAGGAATAGTGAAGAAAGAAAAAAATTCAATTTGTTTAGAAGGAAATGAATAACTTAAAAAGAAAAGAAACCATACATTATTCGTTTATATTATAACTTCCTAGATGTTTTAATGAGCAATAAAACATATCACAGTTGCCACTAATGCGATTATACGATTTACGTACAAATAAGACAGGATATTTTTAATAGATTCGAAATCGTTATACAAAACTCATTTGACATACATCTTGGTAAACTTTTATGACTTAAGCGGCTTAAGCCAAACCAGCCTTATAATAATGGACCCGAACCGCAAGGATTATTATTGGCCATTGTTGCCATAATGGAGGTGTAAAGTTTGACTAGGTATGTGTGAACTGAGTTAAGTTATACAGTAGCCAGTTTGACTTATAAGGGTGTTTTGGCTCAAGCCGCTTAAGTCATAAAAGTTTTACAAGGTGTATGTCAAGTAAGTTTTGTATACTCATCCAAGTTTTGACTCCGCCTAGCGTTGCTTAATTCGCATTATCGCTATACCGGCATTCCTATGTTTCGTACCACATCCCTTTGTTTATATGAATAAGCTATTTAGTGGTAATATAGACAGAATTATTAGCTTTATTTTGTATTAACTCTCCGAAAAAATGTTACGCACAATGGAGTTATTGAAATTATTGGTGTGTCCCAGAACAACTGTACAATAATGCAGTGTGGTCCTACAATTTCTACACATTCTTGTTGTGTCTACTTATCAGTGGCGGTTCCTCAGAGGAGGCAGGGGAGGCTGAGCCTCCTTTGTTTTTTGAAGCTGAGCTTCCTCTAATTTTTTCGATGAAAGAATTTGTATTTTTCTAGACATTTGTTACTTTTCAGAATATTTTGTTTGATTTAATTTACTTTCATCATATATCAGGTTAAAATGTCTAAAAAAATTATATTTGCGCCCTTAGAATCATAATTCACACCACTCCGCGTTTGGCTTCAGCGGTAAAGACTAGCCTCCGCCGAGAATGCATTTTACTATTGAGATCGTAACCTTGATGCACCGTCATTCTGTACTGCATTGGCTAAAACGTTGATCGGGCTGCCGCTTCAGGCCGCTAGGCTCCGGCTAGTTCATCTCTTTTCAGATCAAGTCGTACGGATAATTTTATCTCTTTCTTATTAATTGGCGCGATCGGGTGTAAATAGGAAAAACATTGAGGTGGTTTCGTGTGCTCCCTGTTCAGTGGTGAGTGGTGTTTAGGCTTTACGTAGTACCTAAAGCCTAAGGTGTTTTTTGTATCATTTATTTGCGTTTTATTTCTGATCGTTAAAAACAGCTGTTCAGTCTCATGTGCAGATATCGTAAATTATCTATTAAAAAATGAATTTAGTAGCTTTGATTGTGATAAAAGGATAGCTATAAAACAAAAGGAGAGACCAACACCACCACTTCTATTTATGGTAATGACTCATACGCTAGATCCAGTGCTGTCGCGTCGATAGTTTGATTACAATATATTTTTCTTTTGGACTATATCAACATAATATAACATTTCCAGATCACAAATACGTGGTCCTGTGGTTGAAAAATCAAAAAGGGCATCGAGTATTGTTATTTGAAGTAATATAGTAATATAGAAGTAGTTTATTTACTAGCTGTAAACACTCCTACCGACGCACTGGCCACGACCTTGTGGACCAGATCAAAGCGTCCCCGCTACTCGCCGTAAAACACACCTTACTTCAACTGGGGGATTGCAGTGGTGAGATAGAATTCCGTGTACTGGTAATGACAGAGCATTTCATGAAAATAATTATAATAAAACTAAATGGATAACGGCTGCGGTTTTAAGAAGCACATTATACTGTTGGAATTGTGTATTATTCACAAGTGATAAATCTTCCGTCTGGGATAAACCAGGCTATAATAATTTATAAAATTTGTCACGATCTATAGAAAGGCGTAAAAAATCACAGAAACACATATTTTCTTCTACTTTAGATTCCGCTCATAAGAGGGATATTAAGAACTATAACGAAAAAGTTAGTGAAAATAGGACAATTTTGAAAAGACTAATCGATGCAATAGTTTATCTATCAACGCAAGAGTGTTCTTTTCGTGGGCATGACAAAAAAAAAAAAATGATTCAGATAATGAAAGATATAAAAAGTAGTGCTGTTCAAACTTGAGCCTCCTCTGAAGAAAACTTCACGAGCCGCCACTGCTACTTATGATTTCCTTTCTTGATATTATATATTGTGTTAACTAGATTCATTGGAGGTTTTCTGTAATAAAGTTTATTATTATTATAAGACCTCGATTGTCCCCTCTATAGGACCGCAGAGTTACCTTTGTCGCTATCAGGTGTAGACAAGTTGTACTCCACCTTAAATTAAAAAAAAATGTTTTCTTCTCTTTCATCAGCATCATTTCTTCATCTTTCCTAATATAAACATTCTCAGTTTCTCAGTGATCACACAGCCACGATTACCATAAGAAATAACTAAGAGCGAAAAGAGCTCTGAACAAAACTAGATAGGTAACAAACAAACGAAACTGACTTCAATAAATGATCAAAATGACATTCATTTTGGTGTTTGTACATATAGATAATTAATAACACAGTTAAACACCCCGAAAACGCCGTTTTACAATAACCATCTTCATCTCGGTCATCTGCAGATGTTTATTAGGGAATAGACGAATAACAAATATTAATTGACAGAAGTTAATACTTTTTATATTTAGTAAAACTGTGGCACCTTTACAAGTTAGGGGTGCAATTATTGATTTCCCCAATTATAAATGGAAGAGTTCTCAGTCAAAGCAGTCCTTATCACGGCACATTGAAGTACACCAGTGATATTTGCCAAAATCACAATTTGTTCGTGTATAACTTCTCCAGGTCTGTCCACTGATGAAATATTGATTTATTATATCCAAAACGTCTCACCATCGTCTCACTCTCACACTCCAACTTTAACGAACATTCGCTGGTAGCGCCATCTCACGGTGCGCACCTACAACCAACTACTGCACACTGCGCTCGAGTCCGTCACGTCAAAACGAAAACACTTGCCTCGCGCTCGCAGTTCACAGCTGACAGTCTGTTTCGGTCGTCTTCGCGAACTGCTGTCAGTGTGACAATGTTTTCGTGATTTTTGGACACACAGTATTAATCTTATCGTTCGCGAAACTGAAATGCCCTACTGTTAGTGCATGCCGATATGCTAGAAGAAGTTCTGTGTGGAAAATTGTGCAAGTGTCGCCAGCGTACTGCTGGAGAGTGTTTTTTAGAAAGTGGGTTTGTTGCCGTTTGTCAATTTCGCAAGCATTCGAGTTTCGGTAAGTTTTGCAGAAAAGCGCTTAGTAAAAGTTGCAAAAAAGCGTTTGTCTTATATCCAAACAATGGAGGTTGTTCGGAAGCAAAAGTTAGGTTAGGTGTACGATAGGGGGTTGTATGGGTTCCGGCACCATTTTTTTGCGAAGAATTTGGTAAAAGTACGTTAATTTTGTGTCAAGCCGAGAAGCGAAAGTTAACCGTGCAAGGACAATCACTTTTAATTGAAAACATACACATACACACATAATAATTACGTTAATTCGATGACCTCTACATTTGAAGGATTTGTCCATGTGGAGTTTGAACAGTCGGGAAGGGCATGTTGAATTTCATAATAAAACAATAGTACTTTCATTTCTTCCGTTCACCGTTTAGATTTAGAACGAATGAAATCGAAACTGTTGCATTTGTAAGAAAGTTCTTCAATGCCAATTACAAAGCACTCTAAATTTGTGGAAATTCTTTATTAAACATTTCGCAATTTCTGATTAAATATGCTAATGCACTCTTTGATGATTTACTGTAATTGACCGAGTGATAAAATTATCTATTATTTGCCGGAGTTATCAGCCTTTAAGAAAACGGGACACAAATAGTGCGTACAACTTTTCAAAGAAACGTAATGGTAAACTAAAATCCAATATTGTGGCCCACTCTTTGAATACTAACCGCTATATAAGTGACCTTATTTCGTTTGGTTTTACTTCTCCGCGTTTCCCTTCCATAGACATTGCTTCATAACATTCCATTTTGTTACTTTTATGTTCTGATATAAATCGTATATTAATTAATCAGCAACTGTTAAATTATTGTTCCTCTTGATCAATTGGGGGATAAGAGTTGTAAATATTTATTTTCATCAAGTAGAGTTTTTCTTGAGTTTTCTTGTATTGTATCACTGTTTCCAAAAGTGTGTAGTTTTAAGTTGTTAATATGGTAGATGTCGTATTAATTCATTGCAAATTTTACGAAACTCCGGTTTCGACATAACCATAAATTCGCAGATTACGTTGGCATTTAAGTTCCTTTAAAAGATATGGTTTATGTTTAGTTACTCTTTTTTTTTATTCACTAAATTCTGATATTGGCCTTGAAACTTTAATTTTGTCACTAACTGACATTTGCATTTGTAGTTGAAATTTAAGTCATGCCAAAAAAATGTGTGTATTTTTTTTGTTGCAAGGAATATTTTTACGAGAGTTTTGAGCTGGAAATGTCAAGTGGTATGGTTAATACCGAGTGACAATTAATGTTATTATAATTTTTGTTAGTTTAGCAACCTATTTAAAATTTTATGATGGCATACATTATTGTCAAAGTGACAGTTGCTGTCATCTCAGCCAAACCATACGTTTGTTAGGCGTACTCATGTCGAAATAATTGACATCTGTGAACTGACGTACTAGCACGGATGCCAACAATTCAGAATTGCCCACACAAAATTTGCTTCAATCATATAGTCACCCAGTATTTTAGCACGTGCTGTTTTTGATGTGAGACATTTTGTAATAATAATACAGTAATTAAATTAGCAAAAATGGTTTAATTAAAAAAAAAAAAATACAAAATAAATTAGTTTCATAAAATTGTAGTAATGGTAGCATTGTAACTTGGTTGCTGTTGTTGCTTTTAGCATTATATATTTTCTACCTGAATATGTGCAATTGAATAATAATAAGCATTATAACAAGTTATTTACATATTGATAATGGTGCTTGATTGTTAATTGTTAATGAATACATGTTCAATGGTTCACGCTTTTTCGGGTTGCTTTTTATTTAAATTATTTAGTTATAAAAAAGTTAATGTTAAGGTAGGTAGTTCAAGAAAAACAAATTATGGGGTCGTTTGGTAAAAGGACTGTAAACCTGTGATAATATGTATGCTGAATTTCGTTTGTCCTTTTTATATGTGGTAGTAAGTCAAAAATGAAGTTCATTTTTTGGACTCTCAGAAATTCAAAGTGAAAAAAACATACCAATAAAATTTTGTTTGTTTGAGAAAATAGGCATTAGAAAAGTAGAAGTAACAAGAACATTCGAAGATCTTTTATTCTACGTACTTTGTATGTTTCTGTTGATGTAATGAATTTAAAGCAGTGTGTTTTTGTTACATTTGCGAGTCTTTCAGAAACATTGAGAATTGTTATTTATTATGTGTGAAGATCCACTACGTGGTTTACTAAGTCATTACATGACCTTTTAATAAAAATAACCGGGGGAACCTTTTGTGTTACGTACTATATGTGGTTTCACTGACATAAGAGCTTAAAGTAGTCTTTCTCTTACATATGCATGTATTTTAGAAACCATTAGATTCACTACACATCTGCAAATGATATTTTTTTTTAGACACAAATGAGAGTAGATTTAATTTATTAAGTTCGAATTTAAACAAGGGGACGGGTCTGTGGGTAAATAGAGTCTCGCAGAACATGAAACCTTTACTTGGTATGTTTGACATAATTTATAACCATAATTTTATTCACTAAACTATTCTATTAAATAGGCGTGTGACATTTCCTCTTATATCGCCTTTCAGCTAGTGTGCCTTTATTTAATGTTGCCAAAGGGATTTACGTGCTAAAATTTCGAATCGTGATAATTAGTATATATAATATAGTATTTTATGAATAAGTTTTAGTTCATTTTATTGTACAGAACAAAATAATTACGGAATTGTAATCAAACTTACTTTACGCATCTGAAGCAAAAAGTACGTAAATACGTCATGTATTGCTTGCGCAGGAGGCCATGATAGTTGTCGTAGTATGACATTTGTGCTGAATTTAATAAATCTACTTTGTTGTAATTCCGTATTTATTTTCTTCTGTACAATAAAATACATAAATTGAAATAGATTTATAAAATACAGTTCTCATATTGTGCTAAAATACATTCGAAAATCCCCACTACAAAACTCATTAACACGACTTAAAGTTTTTAGCACGTAAAACCCTATGACCACCCTTAAAAAAAACCCTGTATAGTCAATCGTAAGTCAAAAATGTACTGGAATTGCATATCGAAACCAGTGTTGCAAAAGCTAGGGCTCACTGCCTTAGCCAAAAAAAATGATGACTGTAACACCTTTGCAGCATATCTATATAGCAAGTTTTTTATTTTCCGTTCTGTTTCCAGAATTTTATAAAAATTGGAAAAGTCGTTTTTAATTTAAGCAATTCAATTAATTGCTTCAATCAATAGTTTTTTTAAGACGTCCTGCATAAACAAGATACAGGGTGCTGAAAAAATGGCGTACCAATTCTATGACACGTTGTTGAGGACTGTTTATAGAACAGAAAAAAATAATTAAAACATTCTTGGGCCCAAATGTAGAAAATATAACCCTTCAAAATTTAACTTTTATTTGCAATATTTCATCATATTCTAATTCATCATTTAGTGTAGGATACATGAAATCAATTAGACTTTCATTATTCACAATAATTTTGGAAGTATCTTGTTTTCATCCACAGTTTTCTTCATTATATAATATAACAAAAGACTTAAAATTGGTTAGGATAAACTGGACAAGTGTGACTAATTTTTTGAGATTTTTGATTTATCTTTATAAACCAATATTTTGTTTCTGTAAGTGAACGTTAAACTGGCGTAAAGAATTTTTTAATGATTTTTCCCGAACTTTGACTTGTGAACTTAATACTGTAGCGTCGAGTTGGTGCCCCATTTTTTCAGCATCCCGTATATTGCTAAACCACAAATATAGGAGCATATCCCACCATAATTTGGAGCAAGATTTATTTAACAAAATTCTGAGGTGATATCAAGTTTTTGGAAGAAATGAACAGAAGTTTATCAATGTCTCCATGTTAACCTTAAAGCGTGTGTGAGTCATCGGTTTTGCATTTTTTATGTTAAATTCTAAAATTTCGTTTTGCACTTTTATTATGTAGATCTACATATTTACATAAAGTTAAAAATAGCAGTGAATTCACAGTCACAGCATTTACTTAGCAAAATTTTGAGATGAGGTCATCAGAGGTTTGGTGGAAATGCTCAGACAATCCTAAAATATTCTTAAAATATTTCCGAAAGTTACTTCTAACAAAATCGTCAACAGATGACAAGAACGGGGAAACGGAACAAATTTTAGTTAATACAATGCTCTTTATATTAACTTTTGTTAAAGTGAAAACCCAGACATGATTTTTGCCGTGAAAGTAGCCTTGGGGTTCTCTTTTAATTTCCACTACCATTTTTTACAATAAATTGCTAATTTGTGCTTTAAAAAATAAAAATTATTTTGATTAAAAAATTTTGGTACACCATAGAAGGTTTTGGCTTATCATTTTAACTTGTCATTTTTGACAGAGAATGAGTTTTACGATATCCTGAGAAAATTATAACAAATTGAGTATATTATGAGTTTGTGTCTATTAAATGCCTGTTTACATTTATAAAAGTTTTACTGGTAGGAAAGCCATAACTGTATCCTGTATGTAAAATCGGTAAGGTAATATTACCTTACCGAAATGTCAATTGTCAACATTTATTAAGGAATTGAAAAACAATGAATGTGAAAACCAATAAATGTAAGTAACTTTATTTAAACTTGATGCTTGACTATCTGCATTTTTAACATTTTCGGGCAATACATCGCCTACCTAATTCTATCATTTTTCTAATTTTCTTCACATATTTTTTTTTTAATAAACAACAAATTGTAACGATGATAGGGAAACATTTCATACAAACGCGATCAGCTCCATCTTATTTAAAGCAAATTGCCTGATTTAACTGTTTTCAATTTTTGGCTCAATGGACAGAAACCGATAAAACCTTAACATACCACGGGTGCAACAATGTCATAACAACCTTAAATGTCTCAAAATCTTCGCTAGCGATCGGATTTCGAACGGACGTTTACGGCTGTTATGACATTTATTACATCCTAGGTATGTTAATAGCTATTATTGCAGTTTTTAGAAAAGAAACAGAATGATGGAATTAAAACATAAATGAAGAAAACAAAAGATAAT